CCGTTCCAAAGTATTTCTGTATGATCTTTAGGGTGTTCTTTGGCCACAGTTTTTTAGTTTGAAATGCAGCACACACACAGAAGTGTATTATAATCGTCTGCGTACTGATAATGTGTCAGATGTTGGTGTTCCTTTTTTGTTGCTGTCACTGTGCTGTCTGTGAGGAAAGCAGTGCTGCTGGTGTGTGGAGATGGTTGATATTTACGTGCTGACTTTATGTCTGGTGACCTTAATACACTCTTTTGTTTCTTAGTGTCTGAGAATGTTTTCTGCCTTCTTTATAAAGGCATGATCTGTAAGTGAATTTTGTTCCTTCCTTTCCAGTTCACCTGCCTTTTTTTCACCTCTCTCCTTCTGTGTGGGAGAAGGGAGCTTGTTGCTGGGTGGGAGTTGCCGTCCAGTGGTGAGCAGGGGTGGGGTAGTGGGTCTGTTCTCGGCTCGATCCAGGCTGCGAAGGAAGCGCTGTGGCTGAGCCCTCCACACGCTTACTGGGGGGTTGGTAGACACTTTCATCAAAGTAAGGAGTGTTCTTCTTTTTCTGCTTCTGAATGGATATTGACTTTTGTCAAATCCTCTTCCTACGTTTAAAAAATACTCTTACAGGTGCCTTCTCCTTCAGGGGGTTAATGGAGTGAGTTAGATTGTTTTTCTGATGTCAAACAGTCTTGCCTTCTTTGGAGACACTCAGCTTGGTCAGGATATGTTTTATCTTTTTTTCTTTGTGTTTGGGATCTTGCAGAGATGGAGATCGTGTGTGTAGTCATCATCGTGTTCCTGTCTTACGTACTCTGTGTCTGGTTTTGGCACTACGTCACTTATCCGTGTAACTTAGAACTAAAACAACATACATGGATTGTCTCAGTTTCTCTGGGGGCCTCCAGCCCAGAATCTCTTATCAGGCTGCCTTTGCTGCAAGGCTGTCCTGGGGAGGCCTCAGCTCCCCTGGGCCCTGGCTGAGGCTGCCCTCTGTTCTCCACCATCTCACGTGGCAGCCGGCCCCGTGAGAGTGAGCACGGGCAGGGCGAGGAAGGGTGTGGGCAGGACACAGGTCACAGTCTTATGTGAGCTTATTCAGAAGTGACACCCCATCCCCATTGCTGTGTTCTGTCTCTTAGAGTCACTAGGTCGGCCCACATGTCGGGAGAAGGGGTTACGTGGGGGTGGGAACCCCTGGCTGCAGGGACCCCGGGAACAGCGTCAGAGGCTGCCTGACAGAAGCATCAGGGTCGTGCTAACCTCATGACAAGGGTGGAAGTGGAGCCCTCTTTTTAAGTTTTCAGGACAATTCTTTTAATTGTCTCCTGGTTACTTTTAACATGAGTATTTAAAATTGAGAGTGAATGAGTATTTCTGCCATCCTCCCGAGTAAAGGCTGATCCTCTGTCGCCCTGTGTTTGGGCACTCGCCTCTGCCCCCGGTGACAGGTAGGGTTGTTATTGTTGCTTTATATAGACCGTGTGTCTTCTGGATTTACCCAGATGTCACACACGTCTTTGCTCATCTTTATTTCTCAGGTCTCAGTCCTTGTATCTGCAGTCATTTTTCTTCTACATTAAGCATGTATTTTCATTTTCCTTAGTGAGGGTCTGTTGTCAGTTAATTTTCTGATTGTTTTGTTTGTTTTTTTAAAAATATCTTTATTTTGTCCTTTTTCTAGGCACAGGTTGCAGACATTTTCTGAAAAGGGCAGGCAGTATTTTTGGCTGTGGGTGTCCAGTCATCTGGTCCCTGTTGGAGCTGTGAAGGCAGCCTGTGGGGAGCCTGTAAAGGACGGGGTGTGGCTGTGCACTGATAAGACTATTTACAAAGACAGGTGGTGGCCTGCAGGCTGTCCTTTGCCAACCCCTGTCCTAGGGTATACAGTTTTCAGTTCACTGTTATTTTCAGTCACCCTGTTGAGAGTTTTATTCGTCTGGGTTTTGGCCTCCATTGTTGCCTATGGGATGTCAGCAGTCAGATTAATTTTCACCCAAATGAAGGTAATTAATCTTCCCTTTGTACCTGCTGTCAAGATCTTTCTTTAGTGGTCCGCAGTTTCACTCTGCTGTATTAGATACCTGCTTCTTTTGATTTTTCCTGCCCTTTTTTGCACTGCTTTGTTTTTGCCAGGTGGTGAGGGTTAAGGGGTGGGCTTCCTGGCTGAGAAGTGTTCTTTCAACAACTCTGGTAAATTCTCAGACATGATTTTTCAAATATTACCTCGCCCATGATCTCCGTGTGCTCTCTACCTACAGCTGGGTGCTGAGTGGTGTTAGGTGAGAAAGTCTACCCCAAATTACCTCTAACCCTTCTTTCCTGTTTCCTCTTGTCTTTGTGCTTCTGGGCCACGGGTTGGATAATTCCTCCAGGCCCATCCTGTAGTAGTCTAGTC